AGAATTGATTTTTGAATAGTGATATGATGGGAAATGTGTGGTTGAAAAAGAAGAAAAAAGTATTGATGTGATGGAAAATATTATTTTATTGAAGAATGTGTGGTTGAAAATGAGAATTGATTTACTGTAGAAAATGAAAATCTATACCAAACAGGCCCTAACCCTATTTGATCATGATTAAAATCTAATTTTAATTCAAGTCAAAGTCAAACAATTAATATTAATCACATCTTTCATGGGTCCTACAACTTTTTAACCACACATTTCAAAATTTTTTATCACAATCTACTAAAAATCTATTTTTAATCCCCATCAAACACCCTCTAAATCTAACATCATAATATATATTTCGTTTTAGTGATTTTAATGCAGTTGTAAGGATTCAAACCTATGCTCTTCTTTTGATTTATGGCAACTTGGTCAACCTGTCATTTGGTGAACATTGTCCATATATATAATAAAATTATATATGTTTAGTTTTAACAAAATAATTATTATATTTAATTTTTAATATTTTATTATGACTGACGGTTAATGGTCAACNNNTTATGACTGACGGTTAATGGTCAACGACCGCCCCATGCTCACTTAAAATTTTGGATCCGCCAATGTTTGGGTGCCTTGATGTTTGCCTACATTGGCCTTAGTTGATTATAATTTTGTGCAAAAAACAGTATTCTCCTTCAAGATCTAGTCGACAACGAATAAGATGAAGAAACAACGTGTAGCTTCTAGAAGCAAAAGAACTTGTCTCTTAGAAGAGTCGAAAGGCTGTGACATGGAAAAATATGGGTTGGAGGAGGATCGTTTGGAAGAAGAAAAGATGAAAGATAATGGGCCTTAAGAGGATAGGACTGGTCAAAAAATAATGAGATTGAAGATGATAAGAACGATAGATCTTAAGATGATGGATCATGAGAAAATGATCATGTTTATGTTTGAAGGTAGAGTAATGCTATTCATTTTCACTGGGATGAAAACACAATCTACGTGACTTCAATATGTCATTAAATGATAGGTGAAATTAAATAAGTTATTTAATTTCACCTTTCATTTAACCTATCATTTAAAGACACATAAACTATGTTTCCATCCCTACTGGGATGAATAACATTACTCTTGAAGGTAAGTAAATTTACATTTAAGCCCATGTTTGGCCTCCATTACATTACATTATATTAAATTTCCCTCTCCCTTCATTACAACCATATATTCATCAAATAAAATAGAGTAATGCTACTTGCAATCGTCCTATGTGGCACACATATGACATGCAGTTATTTGATGCATTAATGTGGTA